CTATGGGGGTGGCTATGTAGCCAGGCTCTGCAGAAAACAGTTGATCAAAGAATTCATGGACGTATTCATGAAGTATGCATTCAACACCACCCAAAAATCAAATGGTAGATTTCATATCTAACACTAGGTATATACAATTTTCTTGTAAATAATCTGTTCACATGATAACAGAAATAACAGTTGACACTTACATGGTAATTATGAAGTGTTAGGAACTCTATTAAGGGCTTTGAATTTACTAAACTCATTTAATTCTTCTAACAATTATATGAGGTTAACACTATTTTTACCTCCAGTTTACAGATGAGAAAACGGAGACTAGTCCAAACTCGCAGCTAGGCAGTGGCTGAGCCAGAATCACACCCAGGCGGCTGGTGCGAATCCAAGCTCTCACCCACTACGCCGTACCGCCTCTTGACAATAATCAGAGCCAATGATCCTAGGTGTCTTCCTGCTCTATTAATACACTAAAGCTCACTTTTAAAAGAAGACATGACTTCTTAAAAACAACTGAGTAACTTTAAAAGAAGTCTAACTTAAAAAAAAAAAAAAGAAGTCTAACTTTATGAAGAAGTAACTTTAATAGAACTCTGTAAGCAAGTGGGACATTAGTATTTATACTTCTGTCAAATAATAACCCAGGTGGGAATTCGAAAAGGAGGCATAATGCAAAGATATCTTTGTCATTTTGCTTTATTAAAACTGCAAGACAGACCCCTGTGACCTATCAGGGATGACAGTGACTAAACTTATACTATAATTCACAAGTGGGACTATCTCTGGATAGTTCCCTGTCTCTGTATAGTTCTCTGTATAATTTACAGAAGTTTTTGAACTTTTTTGGGCAACAGTTCCTTATAACAGCCTATCAAAGACTTTACCCTGCCCAGAAAAATGCACATGTACATACTCTTTTATAAGCAATATGAGGGTGAGCAGACTCTGGAGAAACTTTGGGTCACCGCTCTGATTTATGTTATAATTATACTGCTTTAAAGTGACCCCTGAATATGAGAGTAAAACAGATGACTATCCACCAACTCCTTGTCTTATTAATATTAAAATTCGTCATTCAGAATTTTTGAATCACATTGAAAAATAAAAACAGAGGGAGGGGCACTAATAAAATTGTATTATACTAATAACCTCAGTTCTCTTTTGACAGAATCATTTACCATTAATACTTAAATACTTTTACCCAAATGTATTTCTAAAATAATTAAGCTTTAAAAAGAATATACTGTAATAGCACAACACTTTATAGCTTAAAATAATGTAAAACTCCCAAACGTTCTTAAGTCATACATAAAATACCTGGTCCTTTCACTTGGGTACAAATTCTTATATTTGGTTTGTTCTTATCGGGACAAAAGTCTGGGCTGTATCCTTGACCAAAGAATGTCATTGTAAACGATGTGGCATCCATCTGAGAAAAAGAAAGCAAACGGTTTATTTAAGAAATACGTCATTCCCTCCCTGAACATAAGCTAACCTACTATTCTACTTCATATGAGACATTTTCAACAGATAAAAACATCAATCTGTCTGCCAGAAAATCCTGTTATCCTTTAAGCAAGGAGCAAAAATTCTTTGAAGACACAAATTTTACTGACTGGTGTGATGCTGAGGGGAGGAGTTACTGAGGAACAGGGAGGAAGTAAGGACTCTTACGTTGAGGATGAGAGAGGGACAGCACCACTAAAATAGGCAGTTTCAGGGGAAAAGTTGAAGGTAGTTTTTATTTTAGGGTGACAAAATATGATAATCTGATTTAGATATCTGTTTGAGGGGACAAGACAAAAATAGCCAGAAAGTAATGACAATATGGGGTAGAGTCACAGATATATAATTGCTCCACTTGTAGATGTAAAAATTCAATTCAAAATATTAAATTTAGAAGACCCATCCAAGCATCACTAAATATAGAAATAAGGTTAAGAAAGAATTCAGTTCTGGTCAATAAATTTTTATTAAGTATCAGCTAAGGGTCAGACTCTATGTTAGGCCCTTAGAAGTACATAAAATATGGTCTCTGCCTTTCCTGGAGCTTTCTCTCTGTCTCTNACACAGGTCCTCATACATCTGTGTCAAGGCCAGAACAGAGCACAGCGCTTATTGCAAAGCTGTAAAGAACGCTTATGCACATGCAGCCTCACCCAGTGGTTCCCAAATGCAGACCTGAACCGCAGACTCCCAGGTCCTAACCTCCAGACCTCCTGAATGCAAACTGCTGGGATCCGCTGGGAAACCGACTGTTGTATTGTGATTGGGATATGCGGCTAGTCAGCAGGTCTGTTGATTTGTCACATCTTCCTGAAGTTGGAGGTAATAAAAACTTTTCTAAGGTCCCACAGATTAGGGCACAGCTGAGACCAGATCCCAATGAGCCTGGGGCAGAGGGAACAAAGTTAGGATAAACAGTACTGACACCAAGAATTTCCTTCTTCAAGTTAGAGACGCTCTCACTCCTGTACTGGCAACACAGGAGAGTCTCCCAACATGACGAATAGTCCTATCTGCAGCACTTCTCAATGTAGGGTAGGCTGTCCTGTATGCATGAAAAGCACAGAACACTATGTACGTACGTGTTTATTATATGCTTATTACAAAAGGAAAAGTCCTTTGCCTTATTTTGGGGCTTTGGTGGAAAACCTAGTTAAAATATAAAAAGTAAATTAAGAGAAAAATTCTGCTTCGGCAGTGAAAACCAAAAGAAACTTACCAGCTATCTCCTTAAAACTAATCATAGGTACAGAAGCAGGGAAAACAAGTGGCAAGCCCAATTACTGGCAGTACCCAGGAAGCACATCCCTGCCACGATTCAAATACCTAGGCAGGTCCAAACACAAACCACCGTACAATTGACAATCCTTTATTAGTCAACTTAGGTAAGTCCCAAATCAGTGTAGATGGGTAAAAAACGAAGCTAAAATAGCTAACAGTGTAGTTTCATTTGGCGAAGGCCCGCACATATGTGGAGAAACTCATTGGAAAGTAAGATCCATTCAATAGCATAACAAGGGAAGCAGCAGTTTCGGGCCTGAGATGAACAACAGCCTGGTGACTCATCAAGGAATCTGTCAGCAGCCTGAATAGAGACACCCACCCCACCCTCCGGCCACTGACCACGAGGTCTTCAATGCAAGTCAGCCAAATATTAGTTCTCTCTCACAAGCAACAAAATCACAAAATCAGCTAAGGTTTGAAAGTTAGGGCAAGCTAGCATAATTTCCTGCTTTTAATGTGTACATATTTTAGATTTGGTAATGTTTTCTACATATAGTCAGGCAGGCTTAGAGAAGAATTTCAAATATCAAATAAAAAAGCTGTTAATTCATGGATTGC